TGCTTGGTAGGAGACAAGCAAATCAAGTCCCTACTCTGCTCCCTCTACTGGAGTAGGACCAAGACTATCGAGAGGAGCCCTGCTCAAGTGGAACTCGACAGCAGCCCCATGCAACATGTCACCCTGGCCTCCCCTGTCCCCCATATTAAGATAGTGAAGAAGGGATACCAAATGTGTAAGGTCTCTTAAGAGTGAGTGGAGCTCTATTCTACTAAGAAGATTTGAACACCAGATGACCTCCACCTAGACCTCAGGATAAGCATGGCCATTCCTGAGCCCAGGAGTCTGGTAGTAGACCCACCTTGTCCACCACCACCACCCCGCAGGAGAGCTATCAGAACCTGTGAGAAGGAGCTCATTGCCTGAGATGGGGATGAGTGAACATTCTGGAAGGGGGAGGTGTGTGGCTGCCCCAGGGCTTCTCTCCTGCCCTCCCATCAACTTAGAGCCACTGGGGCAGATTAGAGGAAGCAGGAGCAACTTGGTTCCTGTCCCCAGGAACACCATCCAGCTCCCAAAAAAGGACAGGCTGCAGAGTCTAAGAAGTGTTCCCACAAGGGACCACACCTAAGCCAGGTGGACAAAGGGGACGCTGAGTCTAAGGGCTACCAAATACAAGGACATGGGGGAGCTAGAGGGGTGGATCGGAGCATGTCCCAAGGGTCCTACACTTCAACCAGCTTCTTGCCATCTGACTACCCTCACAACAAGCCACAGGGGTCACCATTCATGGGCAATAAAGAAAGAGAGGCCAGAAGAAGTCTCTCTTTGGGGATCAAAAGGTCTGAGTTTTAAGCCCAGCTTTTATTGTATGGCCTTAGACTGGTCCCTTAAGCTCTCTGAAGCTTTAATCATTATATCTATAAAAGAGCTTAGCCTTGCCAGGTCTGAGGACCGCAGGCTCTGTCCTTCAGCCCTTGTCCACAGCATTAAGCTGTGATCTTCCTAACACTCCAGCTGTTAGCCCCATGAGCCGAGGAATCAGCAGACGAGAAGGGAGGGGCAAGGGCAACTTGATCCCCTCAGATTCTTTTGTCCTGAGAGAAGGACTTGTCCTGTGAGAAGAGGGTCAGAGGAGGAATCCTGGATGTCAGGTGGCTTCCCAGCTGGACTCCCTGTGGAATGAGCTGGAAATTTCTTACACTCAAAGCAGTTACCTCCTGAGCAATCCGTCACTATGCCCAGAAGTCAGAAAAGCTGTCTACTATTTGAAGGCATCAAACAAGAGCAATCCCTAAGGGCAAGTTAGGGTGAAGCAAACACACTGGAAGGAACATAGAGGGTCCCAGGGAAACCCTTCCAATGTTGACAAGCTCAGCTTGCTTCTCCTGGGAAGGGATCTGGACTCCTCTGCCCCCCAATGCTAGCCACCCTTGACCTCTTCCAGGAGTGGAATCCCACCTGGTCCCAGACACCCAGCGAAGATAGTGCATCTGCATGGAGGAGCCCCAGCAGGCCCACCTGCCTCTGCACAGTTCACCTTTCTCAGTGCTTCTGGGACATGAGAGCTGGATCACTATGGTAAATACATGCCATGATCTTATCCTGCTCTCTGGGCCTCTAGAGGAAAGGTGGGAATCCCTACTGGTTAGGGTTCTGTTGTATTTAATGGCTCAACAATGATCTAGGCCACTAAAGTAAGGTCTTGGGAGGGAAAACAATCTACTCAAGACTTTAAAACCACAAAGTATCTTCAGTGGCAGATCGAGACCTCCCACTCGCTTCCCATCAGTTACACAAGCTCTCTCCACTCCATGGTACTCACGGTAGAATCTATCCTGGAAACACCTGCTCTGTGGGTGGAAGTGTGGAGGTGTTCTCCCCTCTAGAAAGGGCCATGGATTTACTGGTAACCACTCGAGGTAGACACAAGCAAAAGACTAGGGAAAGATGTCAGGGCCAAATCCCTCGCATTCTCCCACAAACCTCTGTCCCTTCCTAGAGCCTTCCCTTGTCTTACCTCTGAACAAGGACTGCACACGGGTCTTGAGGTATCTGCTCAGCCTCAGCAGGGACTGGCTGAGGGCAGGGCATGGGGAGAGCTTTAAGCAGGCATGTGGGCTGGGGCCTTGTGAGCCAAGCCCCACGGTGGGAGGAATGTGCAGCAGGAGATGGGGGGGGACGACACAATGGGGGGTGTTGGCTGCTATTTTGGCAGGTGCCCGGCACAGGGCTAAAAGAACAAGTACCCCACGCCATATAAGCTCATGTGGTCCTCCAGCTGCTCAGATAAAGCTATTTAAAACCAGAGCAGATATGCAGGGAACAGGCTTGTAACATAAACCAGCTGTCCCTCTTGAGAATCCCGATAAAGCAGATACCAGAAGCCCAGGCCCAGAAGGGCAGGCTGGGAGCAGAGTTGGGGGCAGAAGTCAACCTCTGAGACACTTCATGAGCCTCTGAGCCAGGTCCTGGGGAGCAGAGGGCAAGAACTCTGTTGGAAATGAGGCCAGGGAGAAAGATGTCCTCTGGGCTGCTGGCTGCTTCTCATGGGCCAAGTGGCCTCAGGCAGATGGCTCTGCAAGCCTTGGTGAGAATATCTAGTTTTCTCCATGAGCCCCAAGGCCACACACTAGGTCATCCTCACAGAAGTAGCCTCCAAGTGCTGGAGGAGGTTACCCAAGAATGGCCACTCTCCTTAGTCTGGCAGCAAGAGTGTGGTGGAGAGAATTATTGGAGTTTTCCCCAGGGTTAGAGACTGTGGTCATGGCGAGCTGCTTTGTCCGGCTTGCCCACTAGATCAACAGATCTGTAAGATCAGGAGCAAGCTTGTACTGCAGCTTGAATATTTATGTCCACCAGTCCACAAAGAGTGATCGACACAAGGTGGGACTCAGGGGGTGATGAAAACTAAGAGGAAACTAAGTTGGGAGTAGGGGAGGCAGCTGACTCTTTCCAGGCTCCCTCTCTCCACTCCAGTCTTCTCAACAGCCCCCAGCAGAATCTGAAGGACATGTACTGCCACGGACCAGGCCCAACTTCCCAGGTGCCCCAAGCCCTGAGGTCCCTGACCGTCCCAGATACTGTTAGATTCGGTCTCTCATTCTCACCAAGTAAACCAGATTCCCCCAGCCCCTGCCATCTCCTCTTTCCTCATCTCCTTTAGTTCTACCTCTTAAGAGGGACAGGGCTCACTCTATTCCAAAGTCCTTGTAAGGATCCTCTGCACACTACCAGCCAACTTGCCCATCATTCAGCTGACACAGTTCCCTTCCCATGGTCCCTAGCAGCCTCTGAGCCCAATTACTTTGATGCCCAGCCCCAGGCTTATCCTGAGCCATGTGTGTCTCCATGTCTCCATGCTGCCCGCAGGTCAGCAGCAGGACAAATGGAGCCACAGGCGGGGGTGGGGGGTGGGGGGGCAGCATCCCAAGAAAGGGAGGGCTCAGGAAATCTGGGGAGCTTGGGAAAGGCAGAAGGAGGGAGAAGATTCAGAAGGATGATGGGTGCGGCAGCCAGACTGACCCATAAAGAGCAAGACAGCCTGCTTCCCCCTCCCACTCTAGCCCACCAAAGCCCCAATATTTGCATTGTATCTCAGTCTAGACTCTCCGGGAATTTATGAATTGTTTTTCTTTAACCCTCCCTGAAATTAAACTACTTTCCAAGAGAGTTGATAGCCTTTCAGACAGGACACAGTCAGACTTCAGTATGCCTGAAAGAGGAATCTGGGCATCTATCAACACAGGGTACCCTTCTTCTAGAAAACCAATGATTTCTTAGTATCTGGGGACTTAGTATCTTAGGTGAGGGACTTTATCCAGACAGCCACTTCTTAGCAGCCACACTGGTGCATAGCAAGATGGCTCCGGAAGCAACTTAGAGGTCTAGTCATTACAAATAATCAGGCCTAGGCAGATAGGCAGAAAATCAGAAGTGTGATGATCTGAAGAAGCATGCAGGCTGGTGCATGTGCACTGGGATACCACAGGATGACAGGATGCTCCCAGGCCACCACAGCAGCAGAGCGGGGAGGTAGGCTTGCCTCCAGGGGGCACTCAAATGTCACATCCTACACACACACACACACACACACCTTGTTCATCAGCTATCTCCAGAGCAAAGCAGGAGGCAGAAGCAGCTGTGGGATGCAGCTGCCCCAGCACTCCCACCAATTGTCTACCCACAGTGGGCATCCCAAAGAGGGGATGCAGACAGAGCTCATACCACATCAAGCCTGCACCTATGAACATCCCCTCCACTGTCTCAGGGAGCACCATGAGCCTCTCTCCTAAAAGTCCATAGGACAGCATCGCTTGCTACAAAACTTCACTTGCCAAGGAACTTCCCAAAATTCACATCATGAACACGTCAAAGCCCTTTGAGGTCACCTGCTTGAACTTCTGGAATTCAGAGAAGGGAAAGGCCTGGGGTCCAAGGTATTCAGCAGAACCAGAGCAGTTACATCCTCCACTGTCTCAGTGGCACCGAGCCACCTTCCCTGCCCTGCCCAGATTTACACCAACCCTCAGTTGCAGATTAAGTCCTTCTCAGGATATACAGGATGTTCCAGGCAGGTCTTCAGGGCCTGCTCCTTCCACCTCCAGCCTAACAAAAGGGTGAGCTCAGCTGCAGGAGACTCTCAGAGGTAAGCCAGCCCTGGATGCTGAAGTGTGAGCACACGCAGAGTCTGAGGACCTCTGACCCCTGGACTATAGGGCCTAAGAGAAAGGGCCTTCACCCAGGACAAAAAGACGGGGATGGGGGGATCAGGGACCCAGTGTTGCACGTACTAGCCATGTCTGAGAAATTGTGGGATGCCCCAGGCAAGTGGGTATGAGCAGTCTTGCACCCATTCTCCCTCAAGGCTGTTCTAGGCGAATCCAGAGCAATCAATTGGCAATAACTGCTGGAATGGCTTAAGATTGTAACCTCCTTCAGACTCTGGCCATAACAGGGTTGCAGCTCAGCATTCTACAAGCACACATGGGGCCACGGTACTGAGAACTGGGATTAGGAAGCCTGGGGAGAAGTATGGAATGGAGGTTATGTGCAGGTCTGCGCTCTTTATAAATGATTTTTATTTTATGTGTGCCTTGTATGCATGTATAACTGCGCATCATGTGTATGCAGTGCCTACAAGATTCCCTAAAATTGGAGTTTCAGACATTTGTAAACCAGTGTATAGGTGCTGGGAATTGAGCCTAGGTTCCCTGGAGAGCAGCCAGGGCTCTTAACTGCTGAGCCATCGCTCCCAACCCCAGGTGTACACTATTAAGTCAAAAAGCTAGGACCTTAAAACGAGAGAGGAGGGGCATGATGGATGTGTTTCTTCTTCCAGCAAAGTCAACAATCCCTCACTCCCTGCAGCTGATTCTGAAGGAAAGCAAAGTCTGTGGGAACAAACCATCAACATTACCAGACACTCATGCCTGAGACTGAATGAGTTTATCAGATCCTTCCTGGGAAAGGTTTTTCTGGGTGAGAGTAAGGCATGTGGTAAGACAAAAAGGCACTGAGATCCCGATCAGGGCAGCAGGATGGTGGGGCACAAGCAGGGGATGCAGCACATGGCGCAGCCCCTGGGGACTCCTTTCCAGTCTGGCTTGAACAAGCCTCAGGGAGCAGTAAACATCCGGGACTTAGTGTGGAGATATCACAGGCACACAGAGTGCCTGCTGGGAGCAGGCAGGACATACAACTCTGGAGTTGGCAAAATAACCCAGCTTGATGCTGGAGCAGGAGGAAGGGAGGCAGGCAGTCCCCAGAGAGGACACGGAGACTCCATGGCCGATGGGCCAGGGCTGTGCTCTGGTGCTTTCTGGGTTCAGGATAGATTGTACCTACAATGGGACAAGAAAGTACCAGAGCACATCTGTCCACAGTCTGGGCTGGAGAGGGGCCGGAGAAGTGTTATTCATGTTCCTGGCCCCCAAGGGCCATGCCCAGACTGACCCAGAAGCAGAAAAGGAGTAGGGTCTGCAAGAGTCAGGAGTGTTGCAGGAGAGGGGCCAGCATGACGAAGGGCCCTTGGGATGCAGGTTTGCAGGTCTGTCCTGACAGAGCTTGTCACACCTGTGGGACAAAGGCCAATTAGAACAAGGAAAGGGAGTTCCTAGGGCTATGGGGGAGGGCACCTCTGGATAAGAAGGCACACCTTTCGACAGCCAAGCCTTCACCCACACTGGGTAAGATACCCGAAACCTAATGGTTAGATGGGGGACCCAAACCACAGCTCAGCCAGGCCAGCGCAGGGGCTCCTGTTCTTCTCATGGGTCAGTCATCTGAGCACACAGGGACAGATAGAATCTGGGCACTCAGACCACACAACTCCAAACCACAACCCACTTAAGAGTAAGCACTTGGATTGGTTTGGGGGCCTTCCACTGTATCTCAGGGCCAGTCCCTCCAGCCCCACTCACCTCTGCATCCAGAGATGTAGCTGACTTGTTTCCCCATTGGGCCCTCTTGGTGACTGATGCCTCTTTTCGTATCTCCTGGTTAGGGCAGCAGAGTAAAGAGCAGGAACTCAGACAGGGGTGAGGAGAAACTGGGGATCACCAACTGTCCCCTACTCAGGATGCCTTTGTTCTTCCTGAAGGGAAGAGGACCCAGACCCTCTCCTCTGTGCGGCTCTCACCCACAGATTGTGTCCTTACCCCACAACCCCTGCCACCAGCTCCACTTCTGAAATGACCCATTGCTGCTGAGCCGCTCCTTCCCCTGACCTCCTTGTAAAAAACACACATGGGTGAATGTACCTGGGGACCTTGGTCTCCCGAATCCTGGGTCTTGCTGATCCACAGGTTAAGTCTTGATGTCACAACCCCTGACAGACGCAGATTCTCCTACGAAGAAAATTTCCTCCTTAGGGTTCAGAGTCCCTGACCACAGTAAGGCTCTTCCAAAGGCTCTAGAATGGGGATAAGATTCTGTCCACCACAACACCAGTCAGCACAAGTTATATGTGTCTGGGATAGGCCCCACCCTGGGGAGTTCTGCACCCAGTTAAGGAGACTCAATCTCAGAAACAAATGCCAAATCAAGGTTCTGCCAGCATTGGCAGACAATACAGTTTCTAACCTTGCCAAGGGTTAAGCCCAGGCTTCAAGGATGTCAGAGCCTGGCAGCTGGGATCTGGCCCTCACCTTTCTGATGGAGGTTGGTTCTGTACGGTTCTGGCCTGACAGTTCCTTCTCAAAGAGATGGCGCTTGCTGGCTACAGCGGCAGGAGTGACAAGGACTTCAGTACGAGAGGAGCCTGGAGACCTGACAGATTCTGACCTCTGCAAAATCAGAGATGGAAGAGGCTGAGCTGTGATTGTGAGGTTCAGAAATAGTACCCTCCACCCTGGCAAGGACTCCTGCCCTCACAAAGACACCTCTGCTCCTACCTGGATGGCTGTGTGGTATCTCTCCAGCTTCTCCCCTAGCTTGATGGTGCTAGCCGGCAGCCTCACACTGGCGCTGTAGGAAGGGAAGACAAAATGAAATAAACCAGGGAGGCCATAATGAAATTCTTCAGGATGGCCAGGCCTGTCCCCAGGGCTTGAAGAGCCATCCCTGGTACCCCATCATGCTGGCAAAGATGGAGGACAGAAACTGATGATAATGCCTTCACTGCAGAGTGGATTGCGACGACTTGGGCAGGGCTAAGTCTATAGACTCCAGGAACCTTCTTACTATTGAGGAAACCAGCCTGTCTGCATGATCGGGCATCTTGGGACTAGAAGTACTTCCCATTGTTCCTTCCTCCCTTCCTCTCTCACACCCTATCACTTCTACTAAAAACACTTCAGTTCTCACGCGCTGGGTGGTAATGACAGCACCTGTGCTGCCATCCTCGGGTCACACTGCTGTCCCTGCATCTGCCTGCCTGGGTGGCTATGTGCTCAATGGTCTCCAATGAGCTGCTTATCTTTGTTCTCCTCTCACTTCAAGCTCACCCTGAACCCCAGGCCTAGGAACACGAGCCCTTACTAAAGGCTTAGCAGGCAGGTGATCCAGTAGAGGTGGATGAAATGTGTAATGCCTGCACTACATTTTAGAATACTTTAATGTTTGTCTGTGTTCCTCCACTCCCACACCCTCCCACAGGGTACCATTCTCCTTCTGCTTGGTTCAGTGTTACAAAGCAAGGGTACTTACTAAACATGCAGGTTCCTGGGCCCCACTGTAGGCCTGCCACAGCTGAGTCCTTTTTGGTTTTGTCCTAATCATAGCCTCCCTTCTGGAACGTTCTCTCACCCTTTCCCACTCCAACTTCCAGAGCAAAGCTTCCTCCTTCTTCAGAGCCCCATCAAAACTATGTCCCCAAGCATGAGAAGGGTCATGGGACAGGTACTCAATGCCCTGTCATAGCACACAAAGCGGTGGTGACACTTCCCTCCCAGGGCCATCTCGGGACCTCTTGTCAATCTTGTTGCCCTGACAGATCTAGTGCCACAAGACAAATCTCCATTTCCTCCATGCATCCTGTGGCCCAGCCTGGCACAATGATAATAGGTGGGAAAAATATATATATATAAAATTTTACACACATATGCACACACACACACACACACACACGACCAGACAAAGCCAGCAAGGCCTCCAGGCAGCTCACCTGCGGGTTAAGGGTGTTTCTGAGTTGTCTTTCCTAGGGCTCATCTGAAATGAGAAGGTGAGGTCTGTAAGTGAGGGTCTCAGGAAATCCATGCCCCCTCTCCAGTCAGGAATCTAGCTCTCAGGATGCATCTTCATTTGATAATCTGCCCCCACCTCAAAGTGCCAAGCCTTCATTAAACAAGCTTTCTTATCTGAAAGCACCTGCCTTCACCCTCCAGGGTGGGTCCAAAGCCCTTTCTCATCCTCTCCAGCCTTGCCAAGTACCTGCTACAACCTGTATTCCTATCTACCTCATCAGTGACCAGGAGCCTTGGGAGTATTGGTCAACCTCAGGCCTACCAGTTCTTTCCCAGAGCCTAGCATGCATTAGGGCACAAGGCACATTCAATCAATGGATGAACAGATGACCCAGTAAACAAAAGAAGCAAGAATAAGCATTGAGACAGACCAAATGAAACACTCCAATTTCATCACACCGAAGCCAGGCAGGGGCAGAGAACACTGGAGAGAAACCTGCTGTTCTCTGCCCTGCCCCTACCTCCCAAGGAAGGACAGGGACTGAAAAAACACAAGAGAGTTGTGACAGGCCAGGCCAATCTGGTCCGGCAAGTGCATTTTCCTGCAGTCCTGATCTTATCCACTAGATGGGGCTGCTCACATTTATTCACACACACACACACACACACACACACACACACACCAGTCTTCAACCTGCTCTCTTTATTTAAAATGACTTATCTTGTTTGAGCACCCATAACTCAAAGCTTCTCTCTATCTAGTCTCTAAGGAGACACTTCCTGTTGTACAATCTACAGCTCTTGCTTTATGGGCACTGGTTTCCTTTGCATGCTCTGCATGCGCTGATTGGTGACTACGGTCCCCTGGCTCTTACCCGGAAGGAGATGGTCCTGGGGCTGGAGCGTTTGAGGGAACTGCTGTAGGTGAGCAGGGTGGGTGAAGGTGCGTCTGCATCTTCATCCTTGCTGGGAATTTTCACCTGAGTGGAGCAAAGGTGTCAGACAAGAGACCTCATCTTCCTCAGTATGATTGTAGGGTGCTCTCAGCCCCAAGCAGTCCCCCAAACCCAAACTTCCAGGGGGGGCCTCAGGTGGCCTAGCTCATCACAGAAGTTACAGGTAAAAGAAGAGAATTAGTTGGACTACCTGTGCCTCAGTCTCTGCCATGCGATGGCTATATAATCTCATGTAACCCAGCCACCAGACAGAGCTTTAGTTTTAGAAGGATCCAAGGCTTCCTAAGAGTTTGCTATGTAGCCTTAGGCTTCTATACTTAGTGGGTGTAGGTTTCCCTGGAAGGCTCTGCAGAGGACAGGAAACAAGGCTACCCCGGCACTGAGAAGTAAATGGCTTGAGAGCTGGAGTCTAGGACTTGGATGAGGATGCGGTTTGAAAACCCAGGTGTTCCCTGCACTTGGCCCCTTGCAGGCCCAATAATCTGCCTCTATTATTCAGACAGTAGCTAGGAAAATGAAGGGCAGCTCAAAAATGGGAAGATAGGAGCAAACGAGGGAGCCAGAGGTCACAAGGGCTGGATGCAGTGAAGTCTGCTAGGAAGGGGAAGAGAGAGACAGAATGGAGCACTGCCAACCTGGAGTGTGATGGGTGGGAAGCGGGAAGCTTTAGTTGGCGGGTCTGGTGCGCTCTGCTCTGCAGAGGAAGGTGGGCTCTTCCCTGGGAGAGTCCTTCCTCTGGGCTCCCTCGTGGTGGCCTGACTTCCCCCAGAGGTCTGGGGCTGCTCTGACACTGCTGCCTTCTTTGTTGTCAGCTTTGTCTCTGAGACTAGTGACTTTTCAAAGATAGATGCTTTCTCCGACACCAGCCTCCTCTCCTTCATCTTCTCAGAGACAATGGCTTTTTCTAGAACTGGAGTGGACTTTCTCTCTGGTGCTGCTGTCTTCAGAGACACAAGCGTCTTCTCAGAGACCGGTGACTTCTCTGTCACACTTGTTCTTTCTGGAACCAACTTCTCTGGGCTATGTCTTTTCTCAGTTGGAGATGCTTCCTCTGTGGCTGTCCCCTTCTCTGAGGGGCAGGCTTTCTCTGAAACCAGTCTCTTGGCAGGCACTGGGGTTTTCTCTGAGACAGGCGATTTCTCAGAAACCAAGGTCTTCTGCTGAGCTTCTGTCTCCTCTGGAAGCCCCTTTTCTCCTTCTGAAAGCTCTCTGCTCTTTAGACGCTCATCTTCCTGGGCCCAAGGGCCTCGTTGCTCCCGACTCAGTCTCCGGCGAGGTAGAGCCTCCACTTTCTTCTTAGGCACAAGGGGCTGCGACAAGGTCTGCTCAGGGCCCAGGCTGTCTCTTTCCTCCTCTGCCTCTAGCTTCTCCTGTACTGGAGCCTGGACAGCCTCTACCACCTGCCTCCTCTGTCTCCGCTCCTTTCTGGTCCTAAGGATGGCCTGGAAATCTTCATCTTCATCTTTGGAGGCTGGGGGTGATGGCTTGGAGACCTCTGCTTCCTCCACACTGGGCAGCCTGAATCAAAAGACATGGGGAGAGGTGGACAGAATTAGATGATATCAGGAAAGAGGGTGACCCTGAGTATAGCTGACTCAGTGAGATGCCTCCAGGCCCACCAACTGCTCCCTCTCCCTCCCCACCACTATTTTTTAAATAATCACTTTTATGTAGTCTATGTGCACAGTGTCACTTAAACAAAGCACCCTGAGCTCTAAAAAAAGAAGGAGAAGGAGAAAGAGGAAGAGGAGGAGGAAGAGGAGAAGGAGGAAGAGAAGGGGAAGGGGAGGGGTAAGGGGGAGGGGGAGGGGGGAGGGGGAAGAAGAAGAAGGAAGAAGGAAGAAGAGGAGGAGGAGGAGGAAAAGGAGGAGGAGGAAGAAGAAGAGGAGAAGAAACAGATTCCTGAACAGATGACAGTGAACTGTTCAACCACAATTACTAACACTGATCAAGCAGCTGCTTTATTGGTTCTGGGCCTGAGGCAGCATTGACTAGGAGGGCTCAAAGGAGTGAGCATAGTTCCTGCCCATCAGAGCCTAGTGGCAGCCATGGAACTAACTGGTAGGGAGCTAAAGGAAAACTCAAGGCTTCTGAGATACCATTCTATTACACTGCCTGTCACATGGGTATGTCTGGAACATACTGATAGCACTGGGTTTGGGTCAGCCCAGGGGACACAGCCTGATCTTTCCTCATTGAGAGAGGGGGAAACAAGAACAAGATAAAACAAACACCTGTGTAAAACTCTGAGGTAATGGTCTCCATCTAAAGGAGTCTGTCTGTCTGTGTCTCCTGTCCCCTGCATTTAATGTGATTTCAAGTATATCAACTCACTGTCTGGGCCTTTCAACTCTGTAAACTGTTGGGCAGCTCCCAGGACAAGAGCCATTCCATGAGAGCAAAGTCCTAGCACACAGGCAGCGTTTAGTAACTTCTGGGCCGTCTCTTCCTTTCCCTCATAATCCCCAAACCTAGCTGTCATGACCCCTCAGAGGGAGGATTCGAGTATAGGAAGGTAGTCTGTATTAGGGAATTTTTACAAGTCTGGATGAACACTGTGGCCACACCCACTAGATACAGGACCTCGGCGTGTTAGCATGCTTCCCTGAGTCTCTCCTGATATAAAACAAGTTATTAACAGTGGTCTCTCAGACATCATGAGGACTAAGGGAGCTGCATCATAAAATGTCCAGCAGAGTAGGGCTCACAGAAAGGTTCACCAAACAGCATCTGGGAGTGTGTCGACAAGGGTAGGGGCCGTGCTTGGGCTCAGTATGAGTCTAGAGATGATGAGGAATCTGAAGTTCATCTTCCCACCATCAGCCTTATCCCAGGACCAAATCCTTAGCAGGTCAAACTAATTCCACATAGTCTTCCTGGGACAGCTAAGATCCCACTTCCACTCAGAATGATAAAATGGTGTTCAGAACCCAACCCAACCAAGTACCTCTCCACAGATCTCTGAGCTCCATTCTGGGTGAGTTTTGGAGATTCATCATCTGTGGTTGAACTCAGGTTGCGGTGCCTCCGCCTGCGTTCACGCTCCTGTTCCTCTTCATCTTCCAAAGTCCGCTGCCGGGCCAGGCTAGGAGAAGAAGTTTGGATCAGCACAGTACAGACCCAGGTGAACACCTTCCCCAGTCAGACTTGGAGAAGACTACTCGCCTGGAGGCAGCCTTGCTGCCAGTGGCCCTGGGGCACTCCAGTGCAGATAACTGGCACAGAGATGGGTTATATGTGCAAATACACACAGAATTTCAAAGAGCCAGGATGAAGAGAAAAGTGCAAAGTTTCTCATGGAAACAATGTAACTTTCTGTGACGGCCTGTGCCTGTAGTAACAGCTAGCTAGAAGGCTTGAGCCTAGGAACTTAAGGCTACCCTGTGCTACATAGTGAGAATGTGTATCAAAGGAAGGAAGGAAAGAAGGAAGGAAGGAAGGAAAGAAGGAAGGAAGGAAGGAAGGAAGGAAGGAAGGAAGGAAGGAAGGAAGGAAGGAAGGAAGGA